CCCACCATCCCTGTGCTGAGTTTCCGGGTCTGTACACCCGCCGTGCCAACCATCCCTGATTTTTTTAAATGTATTTGATATGATTGATAATTTATCAGGGGAAGCCGTAATACACAAAGGTGGACAGGAACACCCAAAATTTCCAGGAACAGAGTCAAGCAACATGGTTGAGGGACCTCAATGTTGGATAATGCTAAACGTAATAGAATTAAGGGGCTGGCTCAGTCCACCAGGAGGAGAGAGTAGGGACAGAGGTGATGATGGGGATGAGACCCCATGTGGTGGGGGAAATGTTGGAAAGTTTGATGAGGAACTATAGGGCAGTATAGATAATAGTACATAGTACTCAGTAAGAATGTGGAAAGAATTGCTGGCAGCTCAGGTCCGTCTACTTTTGTTGTTCTTCCTGTTCTACCAGCTGATGGCTTCAGGGTAGCGCAGGATGTGGCGGGAGCCCGCTGGTCACCATGGTGCATGTGCCTCTGGATATTCTGTGTCAGTTCTTATGTATAAGGAATTTAACACGCACACAATGTCAAAAGCAAATGAGAACTAAGACTTTATTCATATAGACTTCACCATATACACTGCCTGGCCAAAGAAAAGTCACCACCTGGATTAAGCTAAGCAAATACGTCAGAGCTTACCATTGGATAATGACTACAGTAATTAATATGTCTCATTTGGCAACAAATGAGGTCAGCTGCCTCCCTGAATATACTGAATGATCAGGTTTTTCCATCAATGGATTTTTTCTTCCCTGATGGCACATTGGGGATATTCCAAGATGACAATGCCAGGATTCACCGGGCTCAGATTGTGAAAGAGTGGTTCAGGGAGCATGAGACATCATTGTCACACATGGATTGGCCACCACAGAGTCCAGACCTTAACCCCATTGAGAATCTTTGGTGTGCTGGAGAAGACTTTACACAGAGTTCCGACTCTCCCATCATCACTACAAGATCTTGGTAAACAATTGAACGCAAAAATGCGTTCCAATGAAATATTAGAGTGTGCGGATTATTTTTGGCCAAGCAGTGTAAATGTGAAGACTAATATCTACAACAAGCATTTGCTAAGTTTATAGCAATGAAAGGGTCCTTATGGGGTTAAAGCTGAACTCCAGCAAGGACGTTATTCTTAAAAAAAAAAAAAAAATGTTCCTTCCCCAATTGCAGCAATAATGCCCTAATATTCTAAAAATGAGTCAAAGCGGAGCTGAGAAATTGGCACATTTGCCTCGAGGTCATTGGCTGTCTTCCAAATTGTCTTCTGCCTCTAGCCACACGGAGGAGGCATCTGTGAGACATCTACATTACTTTCCTTGGACATTAGGCATGCCTTGCAAAGCTACATGCCCCATGATTCTATAGGACTATAGTCACTGTGATTGGTGCATGGCCAAGGCTCTGTGATGCATGGCCAGAGGTGGTGGTGGTGGTTGGAGAGGTGGTGGTGGTGGTTGGAGTGGTGGTTT